TCGGCTGAAGAAGTTCCTCCTCAACTCAGCCCTGAATCTGCTCCCCCTTTGCCCCGCAGTTCTAGTTTCACCCTCCAGTGGAAGCAACCTCCCTGCTTCTATCTTATCTATTCCCTTCATAATTTTATAGTTTCGAAAAGATCCCCCTTCATTCATTCTTCCAAATGCCAATGAGTATAGTCCCAGTTTACTCAATCTCTCCTCATAAGCCAACCATCTCAACTCTGGAATCAACCTCCTGTGCACCCCCTCCAGTGCTAGTGCATCCTTGTCTACACTTGCAAATTGATACATGCTTCCAAAGCAGGAATGTGTGTCAGGCATTTTAAGGGTGGCATGGTGGTTCAGTGGTTAGCACTGCTGCCTCACAGTGCCAGAGATCTGGGTTCGATTCCACCCTCGGACAACTGTCTGTGTGGAGTTTGCGCATTCTCCCTGTGTCTGCGTGGGTTTCCTCTGGGTGCTCCGGTTTCCTCCCACAGTCCAAAGATGTGTAGGTTAGGTGGATTGGCCATGCTAAATTGCCCGTAGTGTTCAGGGATGTGTACATTAGGCGGGTTATAGGGGGATGGGTCTGGGTGGGTGCTCTGAGAGTCAGTGTGGGCTTGTTGGGCTGAAGGACCTGTTTCCACACTGGAGGGATTCTATGAAAAAGTAAGGAGACCAATGCTGTACACAGTGAAGGTGAATAATTCTAAAACAAGCACAAGCTGGTATAAAATATTATTCACAGTAAATGAACATGCTAGCCTCTGGATGTTCCTGATATGCTGTCAGTATTCCACAATTGAATTGACCACTGTGAGATGCTCATGTCTGGTTTATGGCCCTCTGTAACGAAACCTGTGCCTGAACTGTCACCTCATTGTCCTGGATTTGTTCCTTTGATTGTAAAATTCTTGTCCTTCTTTACCAACCTCTCCCTGGGATCACTTCCAACCCCACAACTCTCTGAGATTCTGCACTCACACATTGCTTGAATATAATCCTTGTACCATTGGTGACCATGCCTTCAGATGTTTAAACCCTGAGCCCCAGATACCATTCCCTAAACCTCTCAGATCCTGATTTTACCTCACTCCCATTCCATTCACATACACAGGCCTGGGGTTTTGCAAGAACAGAAAACCTCTCTGTCATTGCAAAAATAGCAGAAGTTCCCAAAAATCAAACATCTGCCCAACGGCGTTTCCCCCTCCTCAAGCAGGGTTACTCCTGTGTTCCTGTAGGTCAGGTGCTCCTTCACAAAGATATGTTCCTCTGAGGCAGCTGCTCTCAAAAAGCATGAGCTTCCTCCAGTTGTAACCCAGGAATGTGAAGCTCAAAAGTGTGCAGCTTACACTAGGAAGGTCCGATATTTGTGGATGTGTTTGATTAAGCCCAGAACCCTTTCAGCAAGGCAATGTACCAGTTTGGATATGGCCCCAGGATAACTCTGGAGGTGGTCAGCTGCTCCCTGGGAGAGGTAAAGTGCTCTTTGGGATTGTTAAAAGCAGGCATGAATGTGCATCAAAGTGCATCACTGTTTGAAAATATGTAGCCCACTGGAACTGTCAAAATCTCAAGAGGAACTGTCAAAAGCATCTGTCAGAGGGACCTGTCAAGGGCATTTAAAAGTCCTGCCTTTTACATTTTTAAGAACAATGTTTGAAATGTTAAAAGAAGCCTTGCTTGCTGTTTCACTCTGTCTAGTAACATAAGTCTGAAGGCTACCGTGACTGTGTTAGTGCCACATGATTGATTCCACAACCCTCCATTATCGCAGTTGGGTGCCTGGCATTTCACAGTTTTATATGGCAGCTGTAAGTAGCTGTTTGTTCTTTGAATTGGAACGATGAATTCCAATTCTTGCAGTTACCAGGGCTTATGCAATTGAATGAAACTGTTGGTGCTACCAGATTTTAAGTAGTTGAAAGACTGTAAAAGTAGTAAATACCTTTGTTTTAGTGAATGAGGGTGTGTTTTTCAACGTCTGCATTAGACACTTGCTTCATTGCATCTTACACTGCATTGGTCCTGAGGTCTGCGTGTGGTGGATGCCGGGGAAATTAGAATGGCAGCTGTAAAGGCAGAAAGTGGTGGGTGGGGGAACTGGTTGACATTAAGTTGGCATATGGGTCTATAAAGTGCCCTGGGGAGGAACAGAGGGGCACAGACTGGCATAGGGGCTACAAATGATGATGCATAGTGGGCAGAGGTGAGTCTGTTGGCATGGAGGGGACAAGTGGAGGTGGGTTGAGGGGAATAAGGTGGAAGGGTTGGCATGGATGGGCCACGGGCAGTGTGTGATGGGTGTGAAGGGTGCAGGGTGGAGGGATATTTCCCACTTCACCCCTTTCCTTTTAAAATTTCAAATAGCCACAGCCCCTGTACCCAGGAGCCTCTGCATGCACCCCAGGATTTCCCAGCCTGAAGCCCAGGGAGCTCTGTCACCCACCCCACCTCCCCAAAAAATATTTCAGATATTGGGAGCGGTTTCTCCCGGATTGGCTTTGCAGTGACTGGAATTGTCTGGAATTTTCATTCCAGACTTGGGGAGCAGATAGGATTCAAACCAGACCCTCCCTACTCTCACCAACGCTATTGGCCAACAGTTTGGACACATACAGAAACCTTTGAGGTGACTTAAGACATCTCATCCAGTTGCAGGGGCGCCATACAAATACATGGGTGACTGAAATCCTGCCCTCCATGGTATCCAAGGCCGGAGGGCATCAGGTGAGGAGTAAGTGGTTTAGAGGAGATCTGAGGAAAATTTATTTCACCTAGAGGGTGGTAGAAATACAGAACGTGCTGCCTGAGGGGGTGGCGGAGGCAGGTGCTCACTTAGCATTTAAAAAGCGCCTGGACAGACACAGGAAATGCTAGGGTGTAGTAGGCTATGGAGCAGGTGGGATTGGTATAGTTGGGTGTTTGTTGGTCGGTACGGACATGGTGGGCCGAAGGGTCTGCGTTCTTGTGCTGTATGACTCTTTCAGAGCTGCACCTGAGTTGCTGGGAACATGTGACCGACTCTTGTCTCTCCTTTTTCAGCTGAAAAAGCGAATGATGATTTCTTTGCGAAGCGCCAGCATTTCGCGGAGCTGGCTTCGAAGGGGAGCTTGCCCTTGCATCCCGTGCAGATGCCAATGCAGCACGAAGACCCAGCGCACGGCTCCAACACCTACAACCCCAAGCTCACGGGACAGAGGAACAAAATGACCAAGATGCACACACACCCACTGGTCTTCGATGCTGAGTACAAGACCTGGGACCCAAGCGACACAACCATCCGGAGACAAACCTATGCCACCAAGAGGCCCTGCACAGTGGGTCCGCTGATAGAGAAAACCAGTCCTCAGCCACAGCATTACACAGCACCACAGCCGTACTTTGTAACCAACAGCAAAACAGAAGTGACTGTGTGATGATGAGCATCCTTTCTGTTACCTGGAACAGAAAAGGAAGAGGAGGTTGTCATTCCCAACAGCTACCTGACTGAGAACTGAACTACTTTGGGATGAACTCATGCCGTTGTTTAATCCAATTGGATTGGACTAAAGTGGATCTAAAGTCTGCAAAATGAGCAATACACATCGAAGGTTTAATAATGATGGGCTTTGTGTTCATGTTTCAAAAAAAACCCACACACACAAAAAAAAATCCAACAAAAAAACGTGACGGAAATGATCAACTGTGAATTAATTTGCTTTGGGTTTTTGGTTCTTGACGGTTATCGAGACAAGGAATCACTTGTGGGAATGTTTAAAAGAATGGGGAGCATGTTTTATTGTCATTTTATAACTTCCTCAACAAATTTGGAAAAGGAAGGGTATGGATAAAACAGACCCCCATCTTAACTGGTGATCCTTCTGGTCAGCTTCAGGACCCTACACTGGCCTCAGTCCCTCTGGGAAGGCTGGGTAATGTAAGTTGTGCCTTCATTCTGGATAACGATGCTGTACGCAGGTAGTCCCAAACACTCTCCATCTCTCTTCTAAATCCCTGTTGATTTTGCTTCCAGTGTTCTGCTGCAGGAAAGAGGCCAAATTGACACCAACAGGACAGATCAGCGGGTCCACTAGTCCCATCCCAATATCTGGACGGTGGGCTTTCTCTGTCAGCGAATTGATGATGACCTTTCTGTGACCCTCTCTCTCGGACCAATGCTGAGGGCCAACGGTGGGAAATGAAAAGGAGGAGGATGGGGGTTTGGAATAAACATCCACCACATTCCATTTCACTTCCGAAGGGAATCCAAAACCTTCTTTGACTCACACACCATCAGCTTTTGTTACCGAGTAGAAAGGGAGCAAAAGTCCTCTTTTTAGTATCGTGTAACAAGCAGCTAATGGTAAATGTCAGCGCTGGGAACAGTTTGTTTTCACTTTGTATTGTAGGTTGGTTCAACTGGATTTCTTACACCCAACTGCTTGCTGGATAGTCCATTTGACACAGCAAATGGGGCCGATGGCTGTACAATGTCTACTTCAGAAACTAATGAGTTACACTTAGTTATTATGATACCTTAGCTTGAAATCTTAAATTCCATTCTGTAAAAAGTATATACTTCAGTCTTTGTGATCCATGCAACCAGTCAGATTCACTGATTGGTCCAAGGGATTGATTTTTAGGCTCAAGGACTTTAAGAACAGTAGAAACCACTTTAATTCATTTCTCAATATTCTACTGTATTATACAGGAAACGTTTTTAGCAGGTCCTGTGACAGACTGTAGTGCTCCCCTTTTAATGTCTCCCTGTATTCCCGCTGCTTCAAATGAAAAGTTAGGGCTACAGCACTTTGCAGATTCATGATAGCTTCTCGCACTGATGGGAAATGTGGGATTAGTGATTTAAATGTGGGATTAGTGATTGATGACCCACTGTTTGATGCCTGCAAAGTTACTCCAAAAACAAATAAGCAGAAGGAAAGCAAAAAGTCAACAAAGTGATTTTTTTTAAAACGCAGGGACTGATTTCACAGAATGACAGCATTGTTACAGAGCAGAAGGAGACCATTCAGCCCATCATACCTGCACTCGTTCTGTCCCCTGGAGCCAATCATCTGCCTTCTCCTTGCACCGTATTTCCATCCAACGAACCATCTAATGCCCCTCATCACTGCCTCCATTAAACCTGCCGTCTCTACATTTCCAAGCAGTGTATTCCATACCCTAACCCCTCACTGGGTGAAAATATGTTTTTTTTCTCATGTCACCCTTGCTTCGTTTGTGCATCACTTTAAACCTATGTTCCTCTCATTCTTGTTTCATTGATGAGCTTCTCCCTATCCACTGTATTCCGATCCGCTCATGATTTTATTAGATCTCTTCCCTGCCTTTTCCTCACCAGTGAGAACTTCCCCAGCTTCTTCAGTCTGACTTCGTAGGATTTCAGGAACTATTGAGGTGTGTGTTGGAGAAGGAAATTACTCCTGCTATCCCTCCCTCTCTCTCTCCCCCTCACCCCTCTCTCTCTCCCCCCCCCCCCCCCCCCCCCCCCCCCCCCCC